ACCTAAGCCGGGCGGCCAGGCCACGCCCCTCGGCTCCCTCCGCCCGCAGCCCGCCGTGGTCAGAGCTGCGCAGGTGGCCTCAAGCTAAAGGCACTGAGAAGCCAGTCCGGGGTTACAGGGTCGTCCCCGCACCGGCCCTCATCTTCCGGTTCCCTCCCGACTTGAGTTTCTTTCTCTTTTCCCAGGTAGACGGAATCAGAAGCGATCCACCTGTCTCAGCTTCCCAGTGCTGGGCACTTTCGTTTCTTAGTATCGCTTAGTTCTCTGTTTTTCCCTACCTAAGCATCACTTCTCCAAAGTCCTGTCCCCCAAACAAAAGGTGAATCAGAGCACCCCTCAGCATAGTTTCCGGAAGGTTTTAGTGCTCCTCCCCACCCCAAGGAGATGGCACAAGGCCAAGTTGTTCACTTCTTGGTAACATGTTTCTTACACAAGATTGCTGAGGAAGCTTTAATTTCCTCTTCTTAAACAGACCAGGAGGTGAGGTGGGAAAATCCACAGTAGGCTAGCTGTCTACATGTTGAAGAACATCTAAGTCAGAACACATCACCTGGGGCGGGGGGGTGGGGGTGGGGGGAGGTGGAATCCCAGCAGGCCACCGCAGACTTAGAGAAAGACGGGATAATCTTGATAAGCCAGCAGAACCACAAATATGCTAAAGACATACATTCTAGGGTGAGACACATTCTATGGAGAAATGACTCAAAAGACCACAGGCTGGTATGAAAAAGTAATTTTTTGTATTACCTCTGACAATCTTCAAACATACAAAATTTTTTAAAAAAGTGCAAGCATTAAAAACTATTCTCCAGTAATTATGCAAAGCTTCAAAGAAAAGCTGGGCAGCGAATGAGTCTGGGTAGAAGACAGATGTACTCAGAGTGCAGAGAGATGCTTTGTGTACATGGTCTCTCTCCTGTGAGATTTTATTAGGTCTTCTTTTGAAGTGCTTTAGAAGAAGTCACATGAGTTACATCAGAAGCCTTTGAGATTGGACCCATGTAGTTTTCCCTCTTTGAATAGAAGGAAGATGTGAGAAACTAGCTTTTGGGGTGAGGAGCAAAATGGGAGGGCCCCACCCTGGATGCCTCTGAGGCTCAGCACCTCCATTCCTTGTTCAAATAAAACAAAACAAAATAAAATCCATACAGGAACCCCAAAGTCATCCACTGGCTCCCCCTCTATGGCATTTAGAACTTTCACTGCGACTGTCGCCCCCAGCGACAATCCATACAGAGTACTTAAAAACTGCAGAGTGCGCCAGCAGCTAAGACTGGTATCCCTGTTTGTTCTGAAGGCCTTGAAATGCTCACTTTTGTTCTTAGAAACAAAAACCTTAAAGTATGGTGGGCACTGAGATTTGCTCCCCCCCCCCCCCAGCCCGCTTTGCCAGTTGGCTTTCTCTGGGAGTCACCTGCAGGATCCTGGAATTAGTCACATGGCCTTCCCCACCCCCACTTTACCGTGGAGGGCTTTATGGGTGGCCGTGAATGACCGTCTTAGAGTGGATGAAACAGGCAGTGGCATCTGAGAAGGGCCCAGACCTAGCCGGCTTCCTTTGTGTATATCCCTCCCTCCTTTCTCCCCACTGACGGCATGCCCTTCCTCCTTCCCTTTTGCCTGCTTTCAGGCTTATTCCCTGAGCCCAGCTAAACACTTCTTGACCCGTTTTTCTTTCCTTTCCACTTCCCCAATTTAATCATTTCGTAGAAATGACACAGGGATGGGAGGGCTTGGCTGCCCCTGAAAGCCGCACTGAACACTGTTCCCTGGGAAAGGTAACACAGCCCCTCCAATAGCGCATCACTGAACAGGGCGTGGGCAGGACATGCTCCTGACCCATGTAAACAATATGGAGCCCCAAACTGGGAATCTGCACAGAGAAGGCCATCAGCGAGAACCACAAAGGTCTCCAGTTCCCTTGTCCCTCTCTCGCAGACACAGGGATCAAGTCAGGCTATGAAGAGAACCCTGTGGGTGTTCAGATGGAGCCAACGAGCCGCTTCTGAAGTCATCTCATAATATAGCCATCCCCTAGGTCAGCATCAGAATCTGAGCTGTCAGTTCTTTCAGAAGACTCATCTTCGGTCCATAGAACCTGGGAAGAGATGCCGGGTTGGGGCAGCTGTGTACTGTCACCTCCGGCCATCAGAAGGCCCGACTCTGTTCTGTGGGGAGCCTCGTCTAGGTGCACTGTATCTTCTGCAAGAGATAAGACCTCGGAGGCTTCCTCAGGGTCATCATGGAGAGCTCTCAAAAACACAGAGTTTAAGTTCACATTGAAGATAACTTTGTCCCCCGGCCCATTCACGGGGCTGCTGTCATCCCTGGGGAAAGAGTCCTGGACCCCCGTCTCTTTCCTCTCATAGGGGCCGCTCGGGTCTTCTGAAGGCCTGAGACCTGACCCCACCTCAGCCTCCGTGGGGAGTTCTGCCACAGTACCAGCCCTGGCCCCAGCTTCGTCCGATTCCTCAGCAGCAGAGTCTTCTTCAAGCTGGGCCTCCTGCGGGTTGGCTGAGGAGTCCGAGGCCGGGTGCGGAAGTCTGCCCATTAGTCCGTGCGTGGTGTAACCCGTGGCGCTGGCTTTGGGCACCTCCTCCTCATCGCTGTCGCTTTCATCTCCGTAATCGTAGTTCCAAACTTTCTTCTTCTTGTTTGTAGGAATGATCTCCAGCTTGTCAATTGCTTCGGATGGAGGCACTTCAGGGAAGATCCAGTATAAAACGTTACGGAAATTCTAGAAGGGGGAGGGCACGGGGGAGGGAAAGAGGAGAGAGAAAGGCCTTCACTCGTATTAGCTCTTCAACAGATAAAGCTTAGTATTCGCAGTGAAGGGATGTGGACGTGGGCATACTAATAGCAGAAACCGATGGTCATGCGGCACGTGCTAGTTGCTGGGCCCCACTCCTGTATTTCCAAACCCAAGGGTGCTAGGGTCCTCCACATGGAATGTCACAGCATTTGTGTGTCTCCTCTGCGCCCCTCCTGTACACTTTCAACCACCTCGAGATCACTTACAGAACTCAGTAGGACACCAACGCTGTGTGAACGGGAGAGAGCATAGCATTGCTGAGAGAACACTGCCAAGAAAGAGTGCGGTTAGATGCTGTGTGGGGTCGGGTGAAGCCTGGGGACGCAAGCCTTTTTCTAAGTCCCTTTACCTCACAAGGGCATTGAACTCAGGGCTCTTTGCTCAGGGCTCCAGTACCCCATGCTACTGGACACCCAGCCTCTATACTTTCACACATTGAACTGTGTGTGGTATGGGGTAGAGAGGGATCCCATACAATTGCTCTAGCACAGCTAACACCAGCAACAGCCCTGGTTCCCCCAGCCGATTACACAGCCAACTGTTACACAGCAGGCTTCTATGTTATACATATGTTCTATGTCACACAGAGGCTTCTCCTCTGACAGGTTATTGTTTCTCTTTTCAGTAACTCTGGATCCGTTCCTGTGTGATGGTCGTGCATACTGTTTATTCGATTTATTTCTTAAATTAAAAAAAGATGCTGCGCCTTAAATTCTATGGTTTTGGGGCTATCGATAATGATACTCCATCCCTATAAATATAAAAACCAGGAAAATAATTTATGTCACTGGTAATCGGGTTTAATCTTGGTGAGCACTGGTGCTTTGGCAGGTGGCAGGAGAGAGAATTCTGGGAGAGCTGGCTTTTTTTTTTCTTTTCTTTTCTTGATCTGGGCTTAAGTTACACGGTTATTTGGGTTGTGCAAGATTCAGTGAGCTTTACACAGTGGTTTGTATACTCTTTTTTCTCTGAGGTTGGAAACAGCTTCACCCTTACCTTCTAATTAAACAGCCAATTTAAGTATGCAATGACTTTGCCAAACCTTTTGATTTTTTTCTTTGAGACTGTCTCCCTATGTGCCTTTGCTGGCCCTGTATTCACTATGTAGGACAGATTACTGACATAAAAATTTAGCTCCAGAGTAATGTAAACTTTTGAACCTAATATTCTTATTCGTATTATTATTGTCTGCCCTACTCTTCATACTGAACCCCATGGGCGGGGCTTTTGTTTGCCTTGCTCTGCCCCATGGGCGGGGTTTTGGTTTGCCTTGTCCCACCCCATGGGCAGGGCTTTTGTTTGCTTTGTCCCGCCCCATAGGCAGGGCTTTCGTTTGCCTGGTCCACATGCCAACACTTGGAATACATCATCATTGAATAGTGAGTCCACCAAGATTTGTCAAATTCAAAACAAAAACCATTTAAACATTTTACTAGAATGTTCAAGACCCTGAGTTTGATTTCCCCTAAACTGAACTTTCTGGTAAATATGCTAACACACTAGGCCTAGAGGGTCATATTTTCCTTTTTCTGGCAGAGAAACAGAAGACAGACCCAAGGTGACACCAGAAGAAAGTGACTAAAACTCTCAGCTATGAAGGGACCGTGGCTGCCCGGGGAACAGAATCAAGCAGATGAGCTATCCCAGGGGAAAGAGGTATTTCTATTGAAATGTCACAAAGGCGATGTGAAAGGGACAATCTGATAGAAGAACCAACAAGTGGTCGGGGATGGCAGTTGAGTGAAAACGCAGGACGTTAGAAAGAGGAGACCAACACTCAGAGCCTGCTCGGACCCAAGCTCCAGGCAGAAGCAGACGGGAGCTAAGCAAATGGTTGTCATGACCAACGGAAGCAGCAGGTGAGCAGCCACCACGTACAGGACAGCGAACAGAGCACGACAAATCAGCTCGTTATGACATTTTATACAATAAATCCAGTGTGTGTGTGTGTGTGTGTGTGTGTGTGTGTGTGTGTGGTATCTTCAAGTAAAACGAAAAGGTGACCCACATAAAAATTTCCATTGTACTATTCCTAACTGGAAAGAGAAAAAGAGAAGAAAGTCAACCCAAATGTCCTGCAGCTGGGAAAAACAATGCCTTGATGATAATGTCATTCCAAGAGCATTAAACATAATAGGTGGGGGCTGAGAGGCCCCTTCAGTAACGTGCCTGTACCGACTCAGGGTGGGGGGGAGGGCGGGGAGCTGGTTCAATAGCCTTAATCTGTGATCCTAGCATGGGAGGGGAAGCTCATTGTCAGCCAGCCTAGCTGAATGGATGGCCTCCAGGTTCAGTGACAGATCTTCTAAAAAGATAAAGGGGAAACGGTACCCCACCCTTAAGGTTTAAGGGACACTGCAGAAGAGGGGAGTCTGCCGTGAGATTGTGTCTCCTCGCAATGGCAGAAGCTACACCCGTGATGTCTCAGCAATACGACTGCCCAAACAGGAGCTGAACAAGGACATCAATAGACATGCACAGTAGACCAGGTCCAGGAAGCCCAGGAGGCCTCGGCCTTACACAAAGAGCTAAAGGCAGCTAAGGAGAGCTGGGAGTTGGAGCTGGAGAAATAATCTTCCCCTGGGAAGGGCACATTGGTTATTCAGTACCAAATGGTCTGCCCTGAAAACACACATAAAAGTACCATTATTCAGACTGAGCAGGTCATACTTATGTATTCAGGAATACACATATATGTATATACACACGCAAATATATATATGTGTGTGTAATAGCGATGCATAAGCATATAATACTAATTAATGAAAAAAGAGCCATGAATTTGAGAGGGAGCAAGGGGAGTATATGGGAAGGTTTGGTGGGAGGGAGGAGGAGGGGGAAACGATTTAGTTATAATCTCAAAAAACATAAAATTTTAAAAGTTTGCAAAAATCAACCATTAGCTTGTTTTGGAAAAGTTGTGCGGTTGAATAGAAAAACTCAATTAAGCTTAATAAACAGAAAGAATGTTTTATACATGTAAAAAAAAAAAACCCCGAAAAACATTAAGTGGAAAAGGCTAGGAAGACGGCTTGGCAGGTGAGAGCCCTTGACATCAGGACATCAAGACTGGCCACCTGAGCTCCATCTGGGACCTGAGAGCGGAAAGAGAGCTGACCCCTCCTTACATTGTCCTCTGACTTCATAAGAATGCATGGAATGTGCCCTTTCCCAAGCACAAATAAATAAATCTTAATTTAGTTGTTTTGTTTCTTTTTAAGAGAGAAGATCATGAAGTTGGGTGGGGAGGATCTGGGAGGAGTTGGGACCCAGGAAAGAACATGAAAAAAGACACTGTATGAAATTCTCAAAGACTGAATTGAAAATATTTAAACAAAAATAAGCCGGGGAGCCACTGAGAAAGACACCAGGAACAAGTGTTACCTATTGGGGGGAGGAGAGATGGAGGAGAGAAGAGAGAGAGAGGGAAAAGAAGAGGGGGGGAGAGGGAGAGAGAATGAATGAATATAGGTAGAAAATACAGAAAGTAGAAAAGGCCCAAATACATTTGACACTTGCAGGGATGACAAAGGATCTAGAATGACCAAGATGACTGATGTTTATGGAAAATGAGATTTTTTTCCTGCAAACATATTACATCTATAATAAAATTATTAAATTAAATAATAAACAAAGATAGAAAACTACATACCAAAGAATTGGGGAAACTATTTTTTAAGCATATATAACCAATCCGTTTCAGCATTATGATGACGCTTATGACGCCCATGGTTATGAAACACACAGTAATTATTCCTACTGTGGTAGATTCTGAGAATCCTGTTGATGAAAAAGATATAGAACACATGGTCACAGGTGGGGTATACTCACATTGGTTCGGTGTCAGAAATTAATGCGGAGGAAGCAAAAGTTTGAAAAAATTATATTGCTGAATGCCAAAGAAGGAAGCCAATATAAGTGCATTTATTTGAAACAAAAATATATTTAGGTTTTCAAAATCAAAATAGTTTTATGTTTGACAACTGCAATAGAGGAGCTGCTAGCTGTCTGAACTTCTTGAAATTTCAACGATCCAACCTGGAGTCTACTTTCTCTGTCACACCAGATCTCAATTGCTGTGGGCACTCAGCCCTCCATGGTGGCCCAGGAGGAAGAGCTGGAGGATGGAACACCAGCCTGGAAAACTAATTAGGGTGTTCCGAGGCTTGGCCTTGGCCACAGCAGGAGCCCAAACCCTTTGCCTGCAAAGACCTTTCCTAGTCTCTTCTCAAGCTTCCTCTTGGAAGATTTCTACCTCTGCGTTGAGAGCAGCTGTTTCCCCTAAGGACAACTGGACCAAGGTGCAGTGAGTCACCACAGGTGACGTTCTCTTAGATTTCCAGAAAGGATCTATATTAGTATGAACCCTGTATCAGAGCTTCAAGGAAAAACAGGCAGAAGAGGTATAAGGGACTGAAAATGGATCACGTACTTCAAGTCTTTTAAAAGGTGAATTAATGAATGGCTAGCTCAGTGAAGACCCCGGGCATTGGGAGTTAGCCCTGACTTCCAAACGTAGGCCCATGAAGAGTGTGGATGGTGGAGGATCCTCAGGCCTGTCCTCAGAGGCCTGATATGAGGATTTCGACTCACAGATGATTCACGGACCTACCCAACTTTCTAAAGAGTCTACACAAGAGCAGTGCAGTAAACTCAACAGACAAGCACATTAGGCAAATTGTAGTCAGTAGCAAGCTGGAGCAACGCTTCTCACAGGGCATGTGGCATCAGTCCCAAGGGTCTTCATGACTTGAAGGTTCTGTGTTTGATTTTAGCTTAATGGTAAGGTAAAATACAAACTCTTGGGTTGCGGCAAATTATGCGTGTATGTTATCATCATAGATTGCTTTCCTAAAAGAGGGTTAGATCAACTTATTTTTGGAAGCAGAGGCCAGATTTGTATCTTCAAATCTTGGTCTTGGATGTGTCTTGTCTTACTTTTAAAATCTAAGAGACCTGGGTGGCAAGGATAGTGTTTTATAAATGCTGTTCTCTGTAGCAGACTGATGATGTAGCGGATGATGCAGTGGATGATGAAGCAGGTAATGTAGCAGGTGATGTAGTGGATGACGTAGCGGATGATGTAGCAGATGATGTAGCGGATGATGTAGCAGGTGA